ATTATAGTCTATAAAACTTCCTCAGAACAGCTTCTAACTCATTCAAATTCTTCCATAAGTACATTGACTGGTGCTGTACACAGTGTTATAAAGCAGAGACTGACACCCTCCTCTGAGCACTAAAACTGAAACACCTAAAGAGGAGTGCCTCACCCTATAATCTGTTAAAAAGGAGTGTGAAAAGTTGTGTAACCTGCCTTTCAGCAACTTCTCGTGGTTAACTAAAAGAAACACCTGACCCTCACTTTTACAATCAGCAAGTAACAATTTATTTATCTAACTCTAACAGTGAACAAATTAACTAAATTATTAACAAACTGAATAAACCCCTTCTAACTACTAACTATTCCTGAATAAAACAAGATTCTAATGGTAGGCTGTTCCAATAAATACAAGTCCCACTTACATAAAATAAAAACAAAGTTTAGTCTCTTGAAATTCTAGCCAGATTACGTGTCTTCCTGAATGTTTTGTGTCTTCTCCGTCTTCTGTTATCTCCAGCAGATGGCAGTTTTGTCTCCTGTCTTTTCCCAACTGCCCCTTCTTTTATCCCCTTGATGGCATATCAGTATTTCTTGCATTAGGATTGGTCCTATGCTGTCCATACCATCAGATTTAGTATAAGTATAATTGTTTTTGTATCTCGGTGCCTGGTTCAAATTAATTGGCTAAATTCAAAACTTGCTGTCTTCATAACAAAACAAAACTGCTGCTTAGCCTGCTAACTGTATGGTCTTTTGAAACAAATATTTCAATTCAGGTGCTCTGTACATCTGCAAACCCACAAGCTGCTGCCCACAGACATCATTTTTGAATCTCTAAGCATAGAAATAGCATATAATCTTTTAAAGAAACCACACAGTGCTTTCCCCCCAAGCATTTTACAAACACCAATATTTTACAAACATCAAATTCTAATGTTCTGCCTCCCAATCCACAAGTACTCTAAACAACTTCGCACCAACAGTACTCCAGTTATGGTCTCACCAATGTCCTGCATAATTGAAGTATGACCTCCCTCCTCTTGCATTCAATTCCCCTCACAAATAAAACACGAAATTATGTCAGCTCTCCTGATTATTTCCTATACCTGCACAGTAACCATCTTCGATTCATACACTTGGCCATCCAGATCTCTCTGCATCTCAGAGCTCTGCAAACTTTCTCCTGTTAGATAATATAATTTTTCTTTATTACTTCTGCCAACATTAACTATTTTATATTTCCCCATATCATAGTTCATATGCCAGATCTTTGCTCACTTGCTTAATCTATCCGCATCCTTATGTTCTCTTCACAACTCACTTTCCTACCTATCTCTGTGTCATCGGCAAATTTAGCTGCCATACCTTCAGTTGATTCATTCAAATTATTTATATAAATTGTAAAGATCTGAGTCCCAGCATCAATCCCTGTGCCACACTACTTGTGATATCCTGCCAGCCTGAAAAAGCCCCATTTATTCCTACTCTCCGTTTATTGTTAACCACCCAATTTTCTATCCATGCTATTAACCATGAGCTTTTAATTTCTGTAATGATCTTTGATGTAGCATCTTATCAAATGCTTTTGGGAAATCTAAGTCCAATATAACCATTGGTTTCCCTTTATCCACGACATTAGTTATGGCTTCGAGGAACTCGACACAACCGGATTACCTTGAACTTATCCAAGTGCATTGTTATAATGTATTTATACAGGATTGAGAATATCAGAGTTTTGGAATGGAACAACCCGATGCAGTATCACACTATCCAAATGTATGCAGGGAATTTGTATGATTTTAGAATTGGAATTGGATTGCAGCAGTCAAAGGGGTAAAGTAATCCTTACAAAGTTGAACAAAATCATGGTCAGTTAACAGAGTTTTAACATTATGAAAGTGGCATGGTGGCTCAGTGTTATCAATGTTGGCTTACAGCGCCAGGGACCCTGGTTTGATTCAGGCTTCAGGCGCCTGTATGTGTGGAGTTTGCATGTTCTTGCTGCACACGTGTGCAGACACACACATATAAATCTACGAGGTGAATTTGTACTTGCAGATATATTCTATTTTGTTCAAAAAGCGCACAATTTGTAGACACAGTCAGTCAATGGGACATTTTATAAATTTCTGCTTTGAAAATAAAACCAGTCTGACTCCAGGTTAAAGTTAAGACAGATTCTAAACAAGGCTTTACATCTAAAATTGCACTGTCCAATCTGGGATGTCACCTCTCATGTACACTGATAAAACTTTTTGTTATCTCGGGTTAATGACTTGAAAGAAATGCTAGGATTTGCACTTTAGTCAATTGAAACCTGTATCTCCTTTCTAACTGATTAAAGATTTAACAGGAGGGAGTCAGCTAGTCATTTTAGGTTTATTTAATACATTTCCATCAGTTGTATAATCCTTTGATCTTTTACTTATGAATTCTGTGTCTTGATACCTCCTCTCTCACTATATCTGAGAAAGGAGCAATGCTGTGAAAGCTTGTGTTTTCAAATAAACCTGTTGGACAATAACATGGTGTCATGTGATTTTTGACCAAGCTAAATAACTCATAGTCTTCAGGGATGTGTAGTTTAGGAATGGTAGCCATGTGAAATGCAGGGTTACAGGGATAGGGTAAGGGCTGGGTCTGGGTGGAACGCACTTATGAAGATTGGTGTGGACTTGCTGGGCCAAATGGCCTATTCCTACACTGTAGGGATTCTATTCTATTCTAAATTGCAGCATGGAAGTAGTGAAGGCAATCTTCAGCTTTCCCAATTCGTTTATATAGGAAGGAAAGAGTACTGTGTTACCAAAAGCAAGAAACAGTATAAGTATAGATTTGCCCAATAACCACCTGTACCTTCCGTTTTATTCCTGAAAATCTACATAGATTGGAGAAAGAGAATTGGCGAACTCATTCTATGCTTTTGAGTATGGACTGAAATGGGAAAAGAACTGTTTCACAAAAAGCAAAGATTGCTGAAGGATTACAGCAGTTTAAAAAGGAAGTCGCCTGACATTCATTGTAAGCACTGTTTACACAGCTGTTGGATCAAGCAGTAATGGGGGTTGTGCATATGAGCTGGAACCAAGGATTTGTACAAATGGAGATTCAAACAGCAATAAGTAGCTGATTGGTCTGTGGAGTAGAGACTGATTATTGATGACAAATGCCTTCTGCCTGCCAACAACTATTGTGAGTAGTCCTTAGCTAAACATCCTGAGGCAGTGAACATTTAAGGGAGAATACATCGATCACCACCAACTCAGGAGTTGTGACTGTTCTCTGCAGTAAAAACCTCTTCAAGTCTGAAGAAAATCAGTTTACTCTTCTTTAAGAAATTGCTGTAAGCTGTGACTTTTAATTAGTAAGGCAATGATCTCGTATAAGTGTGAGCCAGTTACCCTGTGCCTCCTGCAAACCAGTGAAAACATTTGGATCAGCACAAGAATCATCTCAGTAGATCCTGTGAACACAGACCACTGAACTGCTTTCTCAGTTTTCCCTCTGTCCTTAAGAACACAGAACAGTACAGCACAGGACGAGGCCCTTCGGCCCATCATGTTTGCGTCAACTACATTGCCATTCTAAACTAATCCCATCTGCTTGCATATGGTCTATATCTCTCTATTCCCTGCATGTTCATTTGTGTGTCTAAATGCATCTTAACATGGCTTTTAACAGTCATAGATAGTAGGAACTGCAGATGCTGGAGAATCCGAGACAACAAGGTGCAGGGCTGGATGAACACAGCAGGCCAAGCAGCATCATAGGAGCAGAGAGGCTTTCGACGTTTTGGGCCTAGACCCTTCATCAGAAAAGGGGGAGGGGAAGGGGGTTCCGAAATAAATAGGGAGAGAGTGGGAGGCGGATAGAAGAGGGATAGAGGAGAGGATAGGTGGAGAGGAAACAAACAGGTCGAAGAGGCGGGGATGGAGCCAGTAAAGGTGAGTGTAGGTAGGGAGTTAGGAAGGGGATAGGTCAGTCCAGGGAGGACAGACAGGTCAAGGGGGCGGGATGAGGTTGGTCAGTAGGAGATGGAGGTGCGGCTTGAGGTGGGAGGAGGGGATAGGTGGGAGGAAGAACAGGTTAGGGAGGCAGGGACGAGCTGGACTGGTTTTGGGATGCGGTAGGGGGAGGGGAGATTTTGAAACTTGTGAAATCCACATTGATACCATTGGGCTGCAGGGTTCCCAAGCGGAATATGAGTTGCTGTTCCTGCAACCTTCGGGTGGCATCCTCCTATGATGCTGCTTGGCCTGCTGTGTTCATCCAGCCCTGCACCTTGTTGTCTTTTAACAGTCATGCTTTTTCTTCTGTATTTCTGTGTGTGCAAGGGAGAGGTTATAAGGGCTACCCAGGATGAATTATGCAGGTAAGTCAAATGACACTGAGGTCGGCTTTCGAGTCACTCGTGGAAAGTCTCAGCAGTGGAAGCAGCCCTTAAACTTCCGCGATGTCATAGCCGATGTGTGTGCACCAAGACTTCTATTGAGTCTTGACACATATCTCCCAATTTCTGTCCCATCTCCAATGATCTGTGTAGTAGAAGATTTGGGCTGATGAATCATTGAATCAGTCCACCATGGAAGGATTCAACAAACACATTCGATGAAGCTAGAGCATATCGAGTCTAACACCCAGTGAAAACATAAACCCACGGTTAACATTGCCTCGCAGCAGCATGTTGTGAGTGGAAACAGTTGTTTTAGAAGGTTTTGGAACAGCCATTGTGTGATTTTGCTCAAAACGCATAATGTAATTAAATTGGTTATGGGATGCAGCCTTGTATGGAATTTGGGCCTGGTGTGCAGCATGCAGACCTTTGCATTTCTTCAGTGTGTTTGTCTCATCAGGTCCGAGTGCACAATCTGAACGTGCGAAACTACAACATGGTCCGCTCGCCTTCTGACTGTCACACAGGAACACAGTACTCTCATCCGATTGGCGAGCTGGTGCGTCAATCAACACAATAGCCCAATCGGATGCTGGTGCCTGGGGCCGGCTGTCCAATTGGGATGGTGAGAAAGGCGGGCAATAGATCGGCGACTTGTTTCGGTGTGACACGGGGGAAGAAAGTGAGGACCGGAGGGAGGTGGCGGTCCCATCCGTCACTGACTGGCAGGAGCAACTGCCGTTTGAATTTCAGCCGTCTTTAGAGGCTCGGGGGTTGCGGGGTGTACAGGACCTTTGGGCAGCTCTCGGCTTTCAGTGTTAACCGCAGCGCGTTTCGAGGTGATGGCCTACCCAGGATATGGCGGGGTGAGTGAGTGCGGCTCGGCTTGTTTTTGTTTGATGTTCGGGAGAGTGGGGTAACGGGACCTAGGCCATCTCCTCCTGTCTCTGTCTGTCTGTGTGTGTGTATATGTGAGATCCCGGCCCTGCCTCCCCGCAGTCATTATTTTCGGGCTCTGTGTCTGTGGTGGTGACAGTAGGTGTGTTCCCTGGTACCCCGTCCCTCCTCCCTCATTGTTCACTATCAGGAACTGAGCCTCCTCCCCATTTTCAAATTCCATGGCCGCTCAAAATGCTGGCAACAAGGGGGGGTGGGGGTGGGGGTGTTTGGGGAGTGTGTGTGTGTGTGTGTGTGTGTGTGTGTGAGAGCGAGAGAGAGAGAGAGAAAGGTGAACGTGTAAGGACGCGAATTCCTTTAATGGTTGGTTTTGGTTTCGCCAGAATGGAGCCGACGCAAAGCAAACGAAGTCTGTTGAGAGTTAACCCTTTGTGATTTTTTTTCAAAAAAAATTTGCAATTTTTTTTTCTGTGCGGAATTTCTCTTGTACACTTAATTAATACGTATTTGGGACCTATAAGACTGGATTTCCTAGTACTTGTGTACATTTGCCGTGGTCTAGTGGAGAAAGGCACTCCATTTTAACTGGCGGATCATGTAAACCTGTACCTCAAAGTAAAATGGAGTGTCTTTTTTCGTTAGTTTGTGGCAATTTCCATTTACTGATAAGTTCCTGGTTTATTCACTAGTGTTCCATTCAACTCATTTTAACACAAACATATTCACATTTTCAAGGACTTCAGATTTGTTGTGCGACTTTTAATTTAAAAAAAAAGTTTGATTTTTGTCGATGTTACTAATCTTGGTCAAACATCTCTCCACGAGAAAAGTGGGATGGCTGCTTCTGCGTGCTCTTGCAGCTTGAAGCAGGACGCAGCAGATTCCTCCGTTTGACTAGTGATCAATCGGGAACCAAGAAGGCTGATATAAGATACTAAAATAATTGATTGCTGAATCAAATAATTGTGTTTAAATTTAAAACAAAACCTGCCTTGTAAATTTCAAGAACCCACAGACCCCCCTCGTTCAACAAGAGCTTTCATGCATTAATTAAATTTGGAAAATCGTTATTGGAGATGTTGAACCTAAATTTGCTAGTTCTGAAAATGAGGTCTTGCCAAAGTTCTTATTATCAATTTTGATGAACTTTGTATTCTTGTTTCCAAAATTGTTCACATAATTCAACATACATATTCTGTTTCAACTTGGGGGGGAAAAAAACTATCCTTTTCTCCTTCCTTGTCACAAAAAAGCCTTTAGAAGGTAGCATTTTCACATTCCTAAATCAAGGGAGGGGTTCAGTCTTAATCAGAGACTTGAGTATAGTATAATTTTAGGCAAACCCATCAGTGCACTACTGAAGGAAGTATTATACTGTTGCTGGTGCTGTCTTTCTGATGAGAGATTAAACCAGGACCCTGGCTGCCCTGTTCAGAAGAATGTCAAATATACTATGGCACTATTGGAAGAAGTACAGAAGTCTGTCTGAAGCCTTTTGGAATGTTCTGAGTTGAAAGATGCTGTATCAATCTATATCTTCCTTTCATTATACTCAGACCACAGATATTGGAATTCCAGCATTCAGGAAATCTCAGTTACTACTTGAGGCATTCCAACAATGAACTAATGATCTAAAATCTGTTTTGGTGATCTTGGTTGTGAGACAAATATTGCTCCAAGCACAAGAGACCTCCTCTTGTTTGCAATGCTACTTTTGGGTCTTTCACATCTGTCTGAGGGGGCAAATAGAAACTTGGAAAATAGAAGCAAGAGTAGCCCATTTAGTCCCTTGAGCCTGCTCTCTGCCATTTGATTATGATCGTGAAGCTCGATGCCCTAATCATGCCCTTCCTCCATTTTCTTTGATCCCCTTGAAAACAACAATGTTGTTGCCTTACCGACTTTTGTGGTAGTGAATCCCACAGGCTCATCACTCTCTGCATGAAGAAATTTCTCATCTTAGTCCGCAAGGGACTTATTGTCCTTATCCTGAAACTGACCTCTGGTTCTGACTTTCCATCATTGGGAACATCATTACTGTACCTAACCTGAACAGTATTGTTAGAATTGTATAAGTTTCTATGAGATCCCCCTCATTCTTCTAAACTCCAGTAACTACAGTCCTGACTGACTTAAGCTCTGCTCATCCATCAATCTTGCTGTCCCAGGAATTAATTTAGTAAACCTTGACTGCATTTCCTCTACAACAAGAACATCGTTCCTTAGGTAAGGAGATCAAAATTGCCCACAGTATTTCAGATGTGGCCTTGCCAATGCCCTATATAATTGCAGCAAGACATCCTTGTTCCTATCATCGAGTCCACTTGCTATGAGGCTAACATAGTTTATTACTACCTGAGGTAACATGTTGCACATGCACACTTATTTTCAGTGACTGTTGCATGACGACACCAGGAAATGTTGTTATAGTCTTACCAGAGCATAGTGCTGCTCTTTTGTGTGAGAGAGAGATGACCGGTGGCTGTTTAATCAGGTCAGGCAAGGGGAGACGGTGAGAAGGAGAGTCCTTCACGGTAACCTTAGCTGGTGCAGTAATTGAACCCGTGCTTTACTCCACTGCAAACCAGCTGCCTAGCTAACTGGCCCCCTTTAATGTGGGGCCTTGTTTTAGCATCTTATCTGAAAAACAGCGCCATGACAGTTTAATATCTTTCAGTACTGTGCTAGATTAAGTTCTCCAATCTCTGGAGTTGGACTTGATCCCAGTACCTTTGTGACTGAGAAGAGAGTTGGATTGAACTAACTACTGACTACTAGTAAGAAGTTTTCTTTTTTAAAAATCTCTACTGATCACAGAACAAACTTTTTTTTTTAGATGCATGAGCTTGATTTTATTTTCTCCCTTCCAATTCAAGCCTTACTGTTTTCCTCTGCCAGTTAAACTATGGCAGAGGAATAAAATGTTGGGATAATAGAATGCATAATTGTAGAGCTTAACGCCAAAATTAATGAATAGATTCAATGGCTGAAGCTAAATAGCCTCAATCATTAACTCTGACAGTAAACTTGTGAAAAGTTTCCCCCATCTTAGATCTAAAAGATTAACCTAACACGTGGTGCAAGATATTTTTGATTGTGGTAACTTAGTGAGGTATTTTAATGCCTACTCGGCATTATTTTTAAGTTTGTGACATTTTCCCTACAAGTTGCTATTTCTTCAGTCTTGGCCCATATGTATGTCTCATCTTGAAAAGGATTTGGCTACATCGTTTGATGGGTGGCAAATTTTTTTTTTCCAGTGATTTGAGTAGTTGAGCTTGGCATTTGATCTAGTCAGTTCAGTATTCTTCCACTGGTAGTTGTTCGGAAACATTTCTAATGAGGTTTGGAAATTATTTTCTTTAAAATTTAAATGTTTTCAGCACATACAACTGTATGTGGAATCCAGCAGACTCTGAGCTGTAGAAAACGAGATGCAAAGAAAGTAATGAGGTGCAAAAGAGAATTTGAAAAAAAATGACAGTGACTGCTTTTCTTAATGTATTTAGAAAAGCGAGTTATGAAGGGAAATGTGGCCCATTAAAGAAGGATGCAGGTAAGAATTATAATAGTTAACAAGCAAATGGTAGATTTGTTAAATGAGTACTTTGTATCCATTTTCACAGTGGAGAAAAAGGACAAAATACCAGCGGTACAAGGGGACCTAAAAATAAGTCAAGGGGAGGAGCTCAGTGGATTTAATATAAGTAAGAAAAATGGTAATGGAGAAAATAATGGGCCTTAAGATAGACAAATCTCCAGGACCTGATGGTTTCCACACCAGGCTTTAAAAGAAATAGGTAAGGAACTTGCTGATGTATTAGTTATAATTTTACAAAGCTCTCTAGATTTAGGTATTGTCTTTTGGTTGAAAAGTTGCAAATGTCCTCCATTTTATGTAAGAAGGGAGGTAGAGTGAAAAAAATGATAATGATGGACCTGCTAATTTACTAGGAACGGTAGCATAGTGGTTATGTTACTGGACTGGTAATCCAGAAGCCTGGTCTAATGATCTAGCCACGTGAGTTTGAATTCTGAAATGACAGCTGGAAAATTAAGTTCAATTAAAATCTGTCTCAAATGTGATTTTAAAAAGCTGGTATCAGTAATGGTGGCTATGTAACTACTAAATTGTTGTAAAAATCCATCTTGTTTACTGATTTTCTTGAGGAAATCTTGCATCTAGTAGGGCTGATGTATAACTTCAAACTTTCAGCAATGTGATGACTCTTAATACCCGCTCAACATAGCTCAATAAGCCATTTAGTTGCACCAAATCTCTACAGTGTAGTATAATGTGCTTAAACTGGAAGGGAACCTGATTTGGTGTTGATATAGGACTTGTGCAGGACAAATGCGCACTTAGCCCAGATTGCCCTGCAAAGGTTTCCTTGTTAATAGTTTTGGCACAAGCCCCCAAACATCGCATAGACTAGCAAAGATAGTGCGGAGTTTGCAACATGTGACTCTGGACCATATGAAGTCTTAAACAATCATTACCTCGACCCCTACCTCAACTAATGAATCAGTACTCCTCCATGTTGATTACCACTTGGAAGAAGCACTGAGGTATTTTCTGGCTGAAAATATCACAGTTTATCACTGGGTGGCTTGGTAGCATTAATGGTCGAGTCCTGGCCTTTGGGTTTATAGTAGGTGATGGACAGATCAAAGTGACGGAGAAATCTACCTAAACATTTACGTCACGGAAGATGACTATTTCGGCCATAGTGTCTGTCACAGCTGCAAAAAGCAATCCTGCCCAATCCTTGATCAACGGCCTTGTTGGTTGCTTTAGAGTTCTTCAGATGCATATCCAAGTACAGTTGGCTCTGCTATAATGCGTGTTTCTTCAATGCGAATCGGCTTTAATGTGATTGAAGAATTTAGACCGCTATTTGTAGAATGCGAACAAGGGTAATACCTGAAATGTTGACTTCCCCTTTCCTCCAGATGTTTCCTGGCTTGC